TTTTTTTTTTTTTTTTTTTTTTTTTATTTTCCTGTATTTCTTAACAATCTTTTCTTCTCTTATACAATCGTGAGATTTGTTAACGTCATGTCGATAATACACAATCTATTCGTATACGAGGCTACACTATTCAAAATAATCGGAAATATCATGATTTGTTATCGTGAAATCATACAAATAATTATCGTAACGGACTTTTTTTGTTCAAGAATATTATTATATAATCCTTCGTAATGTCGAGAATTGCGCGCACATTGCTATAATTCTCGAATGAATCTCGATTGTCGTCGATTAATTGTGCGATCAATCGAGAATCGAACGCTCGTCGATAGATTTCCGCATTTACCATGAACGATCGGCATGGAAGGACGAAAGTGAACCAATTGTCACGAAAGTAATATGAGTAACGTGTTCGGCCTAGCAAGTGTGTATTTAATTTTCAGAACAACCGATATTGAAGAGTCGACGATTCTAATCAACGATAATAGACGCAAGCAGAGTTGTCCTCGAGTTGTGATGCTGCAAATGCAACCGCAGCGCATTTTCATTTTCACATTTTGTTTTTCACGTTGACATTTAGAATTCTTTAATTTGTTAAAATTTTTCGTTTATCTTTTCTCAATTTCTTCAAAATCTGAAAAACCTCTTTTTCGAGTTTATTCCAAAATTTAATGTTTCGCGATTAGGAAACAGTAGGATACCGTGAATCGTTGATAAAAGTTCGATCATATAATTCATGAATCACGCGATACATATGCGCGTATGCATGTAAAAAAAAAAATGCACATGTAGCTTGCTCGATTGAAACGATTTTGTGAAATTGTTTTTGTATATATACACATAAAATTATATCGTATGTAATATAGAAAGATATAATACACAATGTAAACATAATATTCATTTCACAAATGGCACGATTAAATAAGTTATATATGCGGTCTATATAATCTATATAATCTATATATACAATGGATAAATTATTTTCATTCGATGCAAAATCTTTTCAACGAAAATTTGCGAACTTATGATGCATGAAAAACTATGCAAAACCATTTTAAATTAATTACAATATATATACATATATATATATATATATTGTATATAAGTACTCATTTACAAAATGATTTTCTTCTATACATTACATGAATGTTTGAATATTTGTTCTTGTTTTATTATTTTTTTCTTCTTTTTTCCACATTTTTATTTTCTCTCTTAGCGTATCATGTTTACACATTCTCTCTTCACTGACTATCTTGTTTAGCATGAATTCACTGAATGACAATTATTTGAATGATTATACATAAGTTTATTTCTTCATATTCGAGTTTTTCATTGTCATGTGTTTCGTATTATCTTGTTCAGGGAACACTTCAACTATGAAAACAGAATCATTTCACGATAGATTCACGTATCATAAATATTATATAAATATGATTAGTGCAAATATATCCATAATAAAATGGTTACATTTATTCAGCATAATTAATGATAATGTTATTTCCGTTTGTGTAATGTACTTGAACGAATATCATTTTATTAATCGATAAATATTTTAAGGTTAGAAGAATAAAAATGTCGCCACTATCGTTATAATTATACAAGAGTACAAGAGATTCGTACTTATTATTACTTATGACAATTTACGGCATGTATCGAATCATTAAATCGACACTATTCATTAGATGTATACTAACTATTCGATAGATCGATATACGCAAATAATTAAGAATTGACGTAAATCATGTTTAAGGAAAAAAATCTACTAAAAGTTATACGATCAATGTTACGTTAAAAATAATTCGGTGATTTTAGGAAATCTGTAGAAATTTCAGTGAAATTATTGGCATTGCTCGTAATAAAATCTCATAATTGAATCTCATGATTAAATTTATTAACTATGATTAAATTTATATAAAAATTTAAATTTAAATTCTTCTTCGGGATCTAATAAATTTGTTGTAAAATATTTGAGGTAGTCCAAATTCTGTAGAATTTCCAATAATTACTATTTAATTTTGATTTAGTAAAAATTTAAATACTTGATTTTACTCTTAACATCGTGTTATACATTATGACCGTTAATGATTTTGTCATTTCTGCACATATTTAGGGATTGCCCTGGCGTTGGTACGTCTACCGGGCCAAACGGTAAAGAAGTTTCGTATCACGGGAACGTAGGCGGGTCTAGTGTGGGATATAAACCGCCTCCGCAGCATAGTCCACAATCGAGAGGTCCACCGACGCATTTTCCACAAGAATCCGTGGGTCCACCGGCCAATTCCCCTCCGTTACACATCAATATCTGCGGCCAAGTAAGCATTCCTCCTTCTACATTATCTATATGCATCAATCTACGTGTACTTTTTTTCTTAAAAGATATATGTACTCGCAGGAGAACACGATGCGCGGTCCATTATTGAACATGAGTCCAGGTCTCGGAGCTAGCAATGTTGATATGGAGTATCGTAGGAGTTCCCAAGGTATATTATAGTTTTTATATTGCATTATAATTATATGATTGTAAAAATAAATGATTTTTTTTTTTCTCTTTTCCTTTTAGCCACAAATCAATTACCTCTGAGTCCTGTACAAATACAACCATCGCCACCATATTACAGACAACCTAGTCAAGACGATGGTAGAAAGGTATATAACATATATATATATATATATTATATATATTCGATTTCCGATACGAAATCAATATACGTTTTTATGTGGATACGTTTTTAGAGCGAGTCTCCATCTAGGAAACGTCGTCGAATATCCCGTAACGGTGCCGTCTCTGGTATAGAAGTTCGTGAAACAACACCACCGTCTCCTACACCACCGTTACATACCACTCCACCGCCATGGGAATTCTCAGCGGCGCCCCAGAGACGATCACCACGGAATCATATGTCCACACGCGGCAGTCCAACTATCAGAAATCGTTATCAACGATACACGGATTCGTTCGGCTTGTCCTATCCGTTTGTGCCGGGTCACACTCCCCATCCGCCCATTCATAATTCCCATCATGGAATCCATAGTTCTCACCACAATATTCACAATTCGCATCATAATTTACATAATTCGCATCATAATATACATAACGCGCATCAAACGCATCCCCATCATCCACCGGGCACAGGACATCATCCTGCGCAAGGAGCAAACGGTCCTGTAGTTGTAGATGTTGGACAAGTTGGTGTTTCCGGTTTAGGAGTTGCTGTTAGCGGAGAACCACTCTGGCATCCTCAGGCGACAGGTTATAGAATTCCTTGCCAATTGCACGGCTTATACACACCAACCGGAGCACACGCGTTTGCACACTCGTGTCAGGTAAAAGAAATATCCTTTTATAAATTATAAAAGAAAAAAATCTATATATTTTCCTTTTAATTTAGTTTTTTTAATTTACATATTTTTTTGTATAATTTTTTATTGAAAAATATTATATATATATATATATATATAATATATTATATTATAATACTATATATATAATGATATAAATATTTAATATACTTTTTTTCATTTAATACAAATATTTTATATATTTTTTTTATATTTAATAAAGAAATTTGAAATATTTCCCGTATTATGGTAAATAAATATATTTCCATAGGTTACGCATCATAGTCACTATTCAGCAACTCACCCAACCCATCCAGGTCACAGCTTGGTTGGTTCGATAGTTGGCGCAACATCCAGAGGATATCCTACACCAACCGGAGGTCCTGTAGCGGCTCTTCATCATGCTCACGCGCCACCACCACCCGTCCATACTACTCATTATACGGCGCACCATCAACTCTCTCAACAGGTATACTTCACAACAAATAAAATAAATTATTATGTAGATATATATAAGACTATTGTCAGACTATTTCATATCATTGCTAAGGAAAAATATATTTATTTGATGTTTTCCTTTTTGCTTTCTCTTTGTTGTAGCGAGAAGTTGAATTAGAGTTAATAGAATCCCATCATCATCATAGAGTGGGAGCTGCAGCTGGCGCTCCATTACCATTACCACATTCGTATTCACCGCCGGCTCTTACTCAAGTTACTACTCCTACTCCTACCCCTATATTCTTATCAGAAACAAGAAACAGTCAATTGGAAATGATTCAGACCAGGACTCGACGCACAGCGTCAAATGTTCACACGCTCAGACGATCAAGGTCGAGTAGATGGAGAGGTACGCCTCCGATACCACCGACTACTTATTCAGGATTCTTGTTGCACTTCTTGTAAGTATATTTCTCTGATTAATATCAATGCTGTTTAGAAGAAACTTGTAAGAAAAATAGATAATTCTCCTATCTATAAAAGAAAAACATATATATTTTAATATTACTAAATGATTTTTAGATTTATTATAAATAATAGAAAAGAGTTATAAAATACATAAAGAATTTCGACAGTTTTAATATAACTTAATTTATCTATAATAATTTCATCTGTGTAATTTATAAAATTTTCTCATTTATAGCGCAATGCTCAGCAACCCACCATTATCCCCATATAGTCAGGCGGAACTCTCCTCGCCAGATTCAGCAACAGAAAATTACGAAGCTCTTTTATCTTTGGCGGAGAGGCTAGGAGAAGCTAAACCACGAGGACTGACTCGAGCCGAAGTGGAGCAGTTGCCATCGTACAAATTCAATGCAGAAACTCATCAAGGAGATCAAACTAACTGCGTGGTTTGCATGTGTGACTTCGAAGCTTTGCAATCGTTGCGTGTTTTGCCGTGCTCACATGAATTCCATTCTAAATGCATCGATAAGTGGCTTAAAGTAAGTTTTTTTTAATGAATTATTAATATCTCATTACATTAAGCTTTTCTGTGAGTTATTAATGACTCATTACATAGACATTGAGAATAAAACTTTTGGATTATCAACAATCCACTATATTATATAATGAATTATTTATTAAATTAAAAATTTGAAAAACTTATATAAATAGAAGAATTAATTATAATAATCTATTTATTTATATGTGATTATAGTCAAATCGAACATGTCCAATATGTCGTGGTGATGCCGGAGAATACTTTGGGAATAGCGGAACCGGTAGCGACTGACGCCAAGCCGCTCAAATACACTAGCGCCAACTATCACGGGTCTCAGGGACGCTACTCGGTACAGAGCTTCCAGCAATTACATTGCTCATTTGTGCAAATTTTTGTTGACAAGTATTTCTCGTCTTTTCTCTGACCGAGTTATATATGTTACGATTGCCTTGATTTCGCGAAGAAGAAAGGATTGAAAATGATTGAAGAACGAAAAACAAGAAAAATACGAGAGATAAAAAAGAATAAAATTCAAAGTATGTCAGAGTGTTTGGTATCGAGAAAAGGATCACACACACGCAATAAAGGTACACGATTTAAAATTACAGCATGCAACGTTTTTACAAGGCGAATTAACGTTTCTGCGTTTATTCCATTGTTTTTTCTCGGGAATAGAGAAGTCGAAGAAAGAGGTTAGAAAAAAAAGAATAAATAATAACATATAATGAGCAAATCAAGATTAAGAAAAGTGAAGAAAGAGAGAGTTCCGGAGATTTATTAAAAATTATCAAGCATTTTCACGTCAGGATCAAAGTCTGACTATGTATTCGTTTTGTTTCATCGACGTGCTTCGAATTTAGCTATATTGTGTTTAACACTCGTTTGTTGTTTTTTCTTTTTCGTGTTGCTACTTTGTCGAAGTTATCGGATTTAATATGTACATAATTACTTACGTAATATGCTATTATCACTATTTTCATTAACGTTCCAGTTTTTATTATTATTATTATTATTATTATTATTATTATTATTATTATTATTATTATTATTATTATTATTAT